GACGGACTTCGCCTCTTGTCCAATCGGCGGACGGGGACCGCCACCCCGAGACCACCCTTGTATAAAAGGTCGATGCGGCACCCTGTACAACCCACTCAGGACTTGGCGTAGGAGACCGTTGGATGACGATGAAGGAGGAATTCACAGCTATTAGGAGGTCGGTGGTCGTTGATATTGTCAATTTTCTCTTCTGTGCCGTTTTTTTTCTTTTTAAATTTTAAATTATAAACGAGAAAACGTATCGTCCCTTTAGCGAGTTGGACAAGACGATGATCAGGAGGAGGGCTTTGACATCCAGGTCGGACTCTTCGTCATCGCCATGTCAAAGGTGAGCTATTTGCTTAATAACGTGAGAGATAAATAATGAGAGCCAGAGAGAGTGAAGGAGTGATTAAATGAGTGTGAGAGAGAGAGAGAGATGGAGAGAGAGAGAGAGAGAGAGAGATTAAATTAAAAAAAAATGTTTTTATTGGGTTTACGCAGAGCGGGATCGGCCGACCAGGTCCAGGCCCCCGCCGCGCGCCCGCACCCACTCACTCAGCTCAATCCTCTTCTAAATTTTCATGGTTGAAGATAATCAAAAAGTAACGTTTATAGACTTTAGAAATCTATAGATTATGTTGAATGCTGATGGATTGTTGCTTATTAGAACAGATTCTAAGTTTATTGGTTTGGAAACGTTTGGGACTTTGCTCAGATTTTTTAGCATTTTATCTCTTTCATTTTCGTATTCTGGACATTCAAAAATTATGTGGGAAGGATTTGAAGGGCAATCGCAAGTGGGAGAGTTTGGAGACGAAGCCAAACCGATTCTCTTCTTGTAGCTAACCCATAGGTCATGATTTGTCTTCAGTCTAAAAATAGTAGAATAGAACTTCTTTGACAATCCTTCTGGGCTATCGCCTTCCGAAAACCATGGGTTTTTCTTGAGCTCAGGGAACAGAGACCTGTAATAATTGCCGACATTTGATGTGTTGTATTTTTCTTGCCACAGATTTCTACATAACTTTTTCAAAAAGTTTTTCCCGTCATCTTTAGGAATTTAAATGTCAAAGATTGGACCTGATGTTGCAGCCTCCTTTTCAAGTGCGTCCACCATTTCATTTTGCCATAAGCCATAGCCTGGTTAAGCTCCTTGTTCCTGTAGAATAGAGTGCTGTCTTCTGCATCTATGAGGAACAACCCTTTCAATTTATGCGTTTCCAGGCCACTTGAAGTTTCTATTTTAACAGTGTCAGGTTTCGCAAAAATTGCTAGGTATTGGTTAATTTCTGGAATTCGTTGCAGTAAATTGTTGGCTATTTTGATGTCAGCAATCTGGCAATGTTCCATGTTTTCATGAAGCAATATGTTCTCGCCGCAAGGTGTTGCTTGATGAACCTCCTCCTCGGCGGAGCAAAGGTAAACTCCGTTGATTTCAGGGCACAGTTTTTTCAATGGTTGGATAATCGAATTGTCCCTTGACTTCAAAAAGTATTTGTATTCTGCCAGCACAGTTATAAATTTGTTTTTGTAATAAGATGGAATGGAAAGTAGACAATACAGGTCATAATCTGTTTATTGCGTTACAGATGTACAAGTAGTACACAATTTCATTATTATAATATTTACATTTAGTTTTTACCATTGATTCAAGTTTTAGGATATTCTCTAGTTTTAGTTCAAATGGAAATCCACCGGGATAATGTTTTAATAATTTGTTTAGTTCATTAAACATATCTCTAGGTTTGATTATACTGGGATGTAATCTCCCTAGATTACAGAATACAATAGAATTTTCTATTTCCCTTCGCATATCAGAGATTAATTCAAATAATATAACAAATTGGTTAAGCATATTTTCTAATTCTAATACATAAATGTCCTTATTATTATCCTTAATGATATTATTAATTTCTACAATTTTATTTTTTAATTCTACATTATTAATATTTATTTCCTTAATCAATTCTTTATAATTTTTTATTAATATATTGTTTACAGAGTATTGACTATTTAATTGATAATTAAAGTTATTTCCACTATTCTTTATATCTGCTAACATTTTTTCATAATTTTCGCCATCATAGGCGTCCAAGTTACCTGTTATGAATTTTACAATGGATCCTAAACCATTTATTATTCTTCTTTTTATTCTAAATTTTCTCTGTACAATTAACGCATTTAGTTTTTCGCTTATTACACTGCCTTCATAATTAATAATTTTAAAATAATTATTCAATTTCTTCTTTATATCAGTGTCGTTTTTTGCCAGCTCAAAGATTTTCAAATAATTAACGTTTAACTCACTGAATTTGGTGTCTAATTCTGTAACATTGTAGTAATGAATGAGAGTGTGGTGTGTTTGTTGGATTTTCGCTTTTTCTAGCCTTATGGGTAGTATACCAGGGTTTGTTGTGATGTTCTTGATATTCAGTCCGTTTGCACAACAGTTGAGGATGGACCTAGAACAGCGTCAATTTTTTGAGTGGTTTTCCTAGGTCTTTGAACATCTGACAAGTGGATTTTGCTCTGTGGATTTAGTGTTGTGCATTTAGTTTACCTAATTTCAGAGTTCTGTTGATTGATTTTAGCGTTTGTTTTTTATATTTGTTTTTAGTTTTACTTTGTTTTTGTTTATTTCGTATATATACTTCTTCAGGGATATCAGGTAATTCTTCTCTCTCTTGGTTTCGCGTTGTTATAGTTTTTTCTTTGATTTTCGAATTTAGTTCATTAATCTTTTGATATAATAAAAGAGTTTTCTGTTTGTGGGTGTTTATGTAGTCGTTGTATATTTGAGTTTCTAAGTCTAGTGCGAACGGGGAGTCATTTTTCGATATGGCCGCTGATTATGTTACTTGGTTTTGCGTTCGTGAAGGAATGTATTGTGTTGTTATATGCTAAAATAGCATAGTTCATTTTATCTCTGATTGAATCTTTCGTGAAATTTAAATATCCTAAATTTTAAATGTAATCCGCTAATTTGAAATAGATCGTTAAATGGAATAAATGTACTAAATTTTTCGGTCGAGTTTCCGTGTGCCGAAGTTATTTTAAACGGGTCTAATTTTATTGATTTTTTAAAATGTTTGTGTGCTACTTCAGGATTGATAAAGGATGTTGTACTACCTGTGTCAATTAAAATTTTGAGAGGTGGGTTTCTAAATTGTATATATGGGAGGCTTGCTTGGTTGCATGGTGTCATCAAGTGATACTTGGGTAGAGGCGTTTGTTTTCTAAAAAATGATCCATAGGTTCTAAGCTCGATTGATTTTGGTGTTGTAAATTTTCTGTGGCGGTTGTCTGGTTATTTAATTGATGAATTTCTTCTACCGTGTAATTCGGACGGTGTTGACCGAATTTGGAATTTTGCTGCGTGAAAAAATTATTGGGTTCTCTGAACGATTGTCTACTTTGTATCGACATGGGTGTCGGTCTGATGTCACGTCCGTTCGCGGCTTGAATTCGCGGGGCGAACATGGTGTTTTGTGAGTTTTGTGTGTACAATTTTGTGTTTTGAGGGAAATTAGGATATTGATTGGGGAATCTTGCTGGGTGGTTGAAATCGAGGTTTCCTTGACGGATAATTGTCTGGTTCCTGAAAAGTTTTCAAAAACTGAAAATCATTCGTAAGGATATTTAAGGCTTCTGTGAAATTACTTGGATTCCTAGTGCGCATAAGTGAGCCTAGGGGTTCTTTTAGACCTCTTAGTAAGACACGGAGTGCGACGCCTCTCGCATAGTCAATTAAAGTGTTGGATTGAAGGGGATTATGGTTTTTAAAATACGCTATTTGTAAGTTTAAAAGGTTCTGTACTCGTTGATAGAACTCATACGGTTTTTCGTTTTGTTGTGTGATCTCAATCTGGAGAGTGAATGCGTCCATTTTGTCGGCGTATCCCTCTAACAATGCAGTTTTTAAATCTGCCCAGTTTGATACGTTACTATTTTCAATCACTTGAGCTGCAGGACCTTTTATCTTATTTCTTAAGCATGAAAGCAGGTATACATTTTGGAAATTATTAGGGTGGTTAGTATCTACAAATGTGTTAACTAATTTTTGCGATATGTCTATGAATCGCGTAAGAACGGTTGGATCTCCATTGAATTCCGGGACCATGTCCAGAAATTCTCTTTTAAATTCTGGGAGAGCCATTTTGGATATTTGTTAACAATTAATAAAAAATTTCGTTTTTTAAGAATATGTTAATAATATTACAAATTTAAATTAGATTATTTTAAGTATTTCTTACATAAAAACAAGAGCTCCTACGACCATTTTCGCTGGTTCCGAGAGTCTAGAAGTTCGATGCCGTTGTCCGGGAGGAAAGTTCATATGCGTTGAACTCTTCACCGATCGTTGATTGTCCGATTGCCGATTAACCGTTGAAACGGAAAGTTACACGATTATAACTTTCGACAATGTCCAGTCCGACTGCGCCAGTTAAATAATTTCTTTGGACGAACGTGTTTTTAAAAACTTTTATTCAAAGAAATTACAAATAAGTTACTGATATACATTCAGAACTTTATGAATCTAAATCAAATCTCGTCGATATGCTTTCGGGAAATCTGGCTTAAGACTAACGTTTATTAAAATGAAAATCCTTATGAAATTTCTAGAGTGGGAGAGAGTGCTGATGACAATTCTAGGAGCAACACCTGCATCCTAGCATTGTCATCACATTATTTATTTAACACAATGTTTATACTCGTATATAACTTATATATATATATATAAAACTTTTTATTATTATTAAAAAAAATATTATATACAAATTAATACGAAACAATAAACTATTGGTTTGTAAAGATGGCAACACTGGATTTCTCTATTTCTCATGTTTTTGGCAACACTGTTTGCAACACTGATTCCGGAAAAGTATCTCCGTAGTAAAAATTTATTTCTAGCAGCGCCCTTCACTATTTCCTTTACTTTACCAATTTTTCTCCTAGCCTCTTTTTCTTTTGTCTTTTCACTTTTGTACCTACCATATGTTGTTTTTCTTGTGTCTTAGCGCTCAAGAGAAGCGCTATTGGAACAGCCTCGACGACGATCAGGATCTCCCGAGCTGTCTCTACGCCGCCCGTCCCGCTCAGGCGAGCTACGTCCACCAGATACCACAAGGTATGAAAGGTGCCTTTTTAAATTTTTTTGCAGTCTACTAACAGAATCGACTATTTCCAGACGATATGGAAGGAAACGACGTCGGCTATTTCGCCGGAGGCGGAGGAGGCGGGATAGGAGGACCTGTGTACAGGGTCCAGAGGCAGGCGGCCAACATCAGGGAGAGGAAGCGGATGCTAAGGTCGGAAGGATGCAGGCCACCCGTGAAAATGTAAGCGGCCGAGGCCGCCTGGAAATCCGACGCGGTAGTTCGGAAAAAATAAAATAAAAAAATAAAAGCGCGGATCTCCAACGGCGGCTGAGGGACAAAATTTTTTGAGGCAAACAGCGAAAAGCAAAAAAAAAAAAAAAAAGAAAAGATAACACTTTCCTTATGGCCGACCTATCAGAGAAAAACACACAGCGAAGAAAGTATAACAAAAAATCATAAAAACAAATTTTAAATGAATTTAGATAATTATTAAAAAAAACTTCGCTGTTTGCTTGCAAATTGTTTGTTTCTCTCTGATTCCGGCCGTTTGCTTTGCATGCGTAAAATTAACTTTTTTTGTGTGAATATTTTTTTCTATTTTGGATTAGCGTCCACTCAACAAGTCCTTACCTATCCTGTTACGAGCTACTGGTACTAACTCCTGATACATCTATTTTTACGTTCCTGTCATCCTGCCATTTACCACGAGCTGGCAACTCATGCCATCCTGGTACGTGCTCCTGAAAACTAGGATTTTATTCCCTGACCTGATTCCTGGTAAAAAAAAGAAAACTGGATTATTTGGCACTTCCTTCACTTGTTCCAAGCAAGCACTTTCCATCCAGCCATTTACTACTAGCTCCTGGCAACTCATACCATCCTGGTATATGCTCCTGATACGAGCTCCTGTAAACTAGGATTTATTCTTCACTTTATTTTATCTCCTTGCAAAGAAAAGAAAACTAGTATATTTGTCATTTTCTAGACTTGTTCCAAGCCCCTGCCTCCTTCCCGTTTAACCATGAGCTCCTGGTAACTCATACCATTCTGGTTTGTACTCCTGATTCGAGCTCCTGTAAACTAGAATTTTTTTTCTTTACTTTATTTTACCTGCACTCCTTATAAAAACAAATAAGTAAAATAAGAAAATAGGGTTTTTCTTCTCTTTCTCGACCCCCCTCAAGTCACTGCAATCCTGCCATTTACCACGAGCACCTGGCAAAATAAGAGCTCTTGCCATCCTAGTCCTTTCTGTTGGTGTTTGCTCCTGATAAGAGCTCCAAATGTAGTCTAGAATCGATTATCCCCCCTTTTGTTGATAACTTCTAAGCTCCTACCATTCACTACGAGCTGCTGGTGATTCAAGTGATCCTGATATATGCTTCTGCCTCGTGGTAAAACAAGAAAATAAGATTTCAGTCTTCATTTTGTTGAACCCTTATAGGTTGATGCCATACTGATTGGAAATCCTGCTAAAAATAAATCTAGGACTTCCCCTAAGCTCCTGCCATCCTGCCATTTACCCCACGAGATCCTGTCGAGGTACGAGCTCTTACTATCCTGGTATGTATGCTCGTGTCTCGTGGTAAAATAAGAACGTAGGATTTTATTCTTCACCTTTTTGATCTCTTACAAGCTCCTGCCATCCTAACCTGAAATACTGGTAAAAAACGAAAACTCGGATATTATTGACTTCCGCCAAACTCCTGCTATTCAGTATCGGCTCCTGGCAACCCATGCCATCCTGGTACGTGCTCCTGATACAATCTCCTGAAACCTAGGATTTTTATCTTCAGTTTATTTGACTCCTGGTAAAAAAATAGGAAAAAATGTAAACATCGTAGAAACTTTTGACTCGGCCGTCAAAATAGATAGTACGTAATACAGCTAAGTCAATCCGGTGTGGTATAGCTCAGGTGCCTTGAATTCCCGCCTCACTACTACATAATTACCATACTTTATCGTTCTTAAGTACAGTTTGTACCCTTTTATACAACATAAATAAATAAATAAAAAGCAAAAGAAACATTGGCTAAATTAAATTTTTAATATTGCACGTTTTTAAGTCTTTGCTAAATAGTTTTTCATTCATTTTTTGGTAATTGCATCGATTTCTTGGCCTCTTCTAAGCTCAAAATTTCTGTTATCCTGCCATTTAGTACGAGTTACTTCCATGCCTAGTACAGGCTGCTGTAAACTAGGATTTTTTCTTCACTTTATTTGACCTGACTCCTGGTAAAAAAAAAAAACTAGGATATTTATCACTTCCTTGACTTGTTCCAAGCGCCATCCATCCAGCCATTTACTACGAGCTCCTGGCAACTCATGCCATCCTGGTATACGACCTCTTGAAAACTAGGATTTTTTCTTTACTTTATTTGATCTGACTCCTGGTAAAAAAGAAAACTAGAATAAGATCACTTTCTTGACCTCTTATAAGCTCCCTCCATTCCGCATTTTACTATGTGCTCCTGGCACTTCCTTGCCATCCCGGTTTGTACTCCTGATGTGAGCTCCTGTAAACTGGATTTTTCCTTTAATTTGTTGACCTCTTCAAATCTCTTTCCATCGTGCCATTTACTACGAGCTCCTGGCAGCTCATGCGATATTTGAATGTTTTCCTCGAGCTCCTGTAAACTGGATTTTTCCTTTACTTTGTTGACCTCCTGCTAGCTCATTCTGATACGAACTCCTTCGCAATATAAAGCTATGATTGTTTCTTCATTTTGTTGATCTCCTCAAAACTCATGCCATCCTATTATTTACGACGAGATACAAGCCACGTCACTTCCGCGAGTTCCTTGTATTCTTCAATAGCCCAATTTGTCGAAATCAGGTTTTTTGATAAAAGTATGGCCTGTTACAGCAGTATAAACTCAGCATTCGACCAGCTGCGCGGCCACGTGCCGACATTCCCGTACGAGAAGAGGCTCTCCAAGATCGACACCCTACGTCTCGCGATCGCTTACATCGCCCTACTCCGGGAGGTGCTCGCCGCCGACTGCGACCCTCTTGAGTACGTCGAGAAGGCCCTCGCGAGCGAAAGCTCCCTCGAAAGGGCAGAGTGGAACACGAGCGGTAAGACACGATTCTCTCGAGATTTGGGCCGGTTCAAAATTTCTGTTACGCTTTTTAGACCTGACCGCGAGGCTGTCATGGATCAACTGGGAGAACCTGGGGGTCAACCCGAACCGAAGGAGTATCCTCACGTCTCTGGCGCTCACTTGAACACCCCCGACGTAAATGGAAAAAAACCTGATATTTTTCCTAAGGAAAGTAAAGTTACCATTTGATTTAAAATCTACCATCTGAGTCTAGTCATCTTTGGTCTTTTTGTTTGTTTTTTGTAAATAAATTTTTATCCTGTGGTCAGTTCAATCGCCCAACTTTTAAACGTGACACCATCTATCAATGACATCCTGCTTTTTTTGTTCACTTAATGTCAGCTCACCGCTCTGGGTAGGTCACAACTCCGTGGCAGTGCACAGCCCACTTACGTATAACCACTCTATAGGTAACTCACCATTTACCTAGAGATCGCCACACCATATCAGCTAACCACTCCTTGGTAGCCAACCATTTCCCTACATATCACTTTCCTTGTCATCTCAGTACTCTAGGTAAGCTCACCGCACCATTACTGTTCACCACTCCTTCGGTAGCTCACCATTTTCCTACAGATCACCTATCCATAGGTAGCTTACCATTTTCCTACAAATCACCGCACCATGTCATCTCACCATTCCTTGGTAGCCGACCATTTGCTTACAGTTCACCACTCCTTAGGTAGCGCACCATTTCCCTACAGATCACTTTTCTTGTCAGCTCACTACTCTAGGTCAGCTCACCGCACCTTTACAGTTCATCACTCCTTAGGTAGCTTGCGATTTTCGTACAGTTCAGATTCCATATCGGCTCACTACTCCAGGTCACCTTACGACAGCATTTCAGCTCACCGCTCCGTGTCAGCTAACCACTCCTTGGTAGTTGACCATTTTTCTAAAGATCACCTATCCATGTCGGCTTACTACTCTAGGCTAGCTCACCACTCCTTCGGTAGCTTACCATTTTCTTACAAATCACAGTCCATGTCAGCTCACCGCACCGTGTCATCTCACTGCACTATGTCAGCTTCCATTCCGTGGTAGCCGACCATTTGCTTACAGTTCACCACTCTTTAGGTAGCCCACCATTTCCCTACAGATCGCCTTCCATGTCAGCTCATTACTCTAGGTAAGCACACTGTTCCGTGTTAGCTAACCACTGCTTGGTAGCTGATCATTCTCATACAGCTCACCACTCCATAGGTAGCATACCGATTTCCTACAAATCACCTATCCATGTCAGCTCACCGCACCATGTCAGCTCACCATTCCATGGTGTGAGGGTTGGTCACATTTGCAATTAAAAAATAAAAGAACAACTTCTCAAAAAAAAGCACAAATATATTTTACAGACCAGAAAAATATACTGCTTACAATTTCATTAAAGGGCAATTTCCTGACATCGGGTAGCTCACCATTATCTTACATCTCACCGCTCCCTGGGAGCTCACCACTTTGTTATAGCTCATTACTCCTTGTGTAGCTCACTGTTTATACAGTTGTCCTCTGGCGATTCACCGCTCCTCGGTAGCTCACTACTCCCTTATCGCTCGACCTTCCCTCTTAACTCACTGGTATCTTAGAGCTCACTACTCTCTTGGAGCCATCCACTCCATCCCAACTCAGCGCTTTCTTCTTAGCTTCTCTAGCTCATCACTCCCTCTCAGCTCACGACTCCTTTAAATCCTCGTGCAGCTCACTGCTTCATGTCAGGTCGTAGCTCTCTTGTAGATCACCACTCCTAGGCAGCTCACGACTCCTTCACATCTTCGTGTAGCTCGTATAACCCCTCCATACATAGTTCATCCACCACTCCTTTTCAGCTCATCACTAATTGTGTAGCTCACCGTGCCGTGTCGGCTAACCATTGTATTACAGTTCAACGTACCTTATCAGTTCAGAGGTTCGTGGTATCTTACTAGTCTTTATCGCTAACTCCTGGCCACTCACCACTCCCTCTCACCTCATGACTCCTTCACATCTTCGTGTAGCTCACCGCTCCATGTCAGGTCATAAATCTTTGTAGATCACGATTCCATGGCAGCTCACCGCTCCCTCACATATAACTATTCCATAGATAGTTCATCCACCACTCCTTTTCAGCTCATCACTCCTTGTAGCTCATCATTTTCTTACAGTTCTTACAGCTCACCACGCCGTGTCGGCTAAACATTCTATTACAGTTCAACGTACCATGTCATCACCCTCACCGTCACTTCCAACAGCTCACCTCTTCCTCGCAGCCATCCACTCCACCTCAACTCCCACTCCCCGTCAGTTTACTAATTCATACGTCCAACTTCTAAACGTCGCACAATCTAGCAATTGCCTCTTGGTTCTTCTCAATCATCGCTTCCGCCTCCTCCTCCAGGGATCGGATACTTTCAGGCGTGGCGTCATCCATCTCGGCCGATATTTGAGTCTGTATCCTTATGTATTTATCCCCCATGATTTTATTCATTTGATAATTAACGCAGTCGAGTCCTGAAGCGAAAACGACGTCGAGTAGAGGCATTATCCACTCGATCCTTCCCAACTTCCTAGCGTTCTCGATCCTCCTGTCCGTCCTTCCAGTGCCCAAAGATAAAATAACGATATCGTCATTCGGAAATAGCCTTTTGCTCGTGGCGTACGCGCAAGCGGAGGGGTTGTTCGCAAATACACCCCCATCTACCAACACTCTTTCGGTCGTATGGATTTTCAAAGATTTAGGGATGAAATAGGTCGGTGCGGCGGTCGTCGCTCTCAGGGCGTCTTTCACTAGGATCGAGTTCCTGTCTTCTTTCCAGCTTTTGAAGAAAAAAGGACAGTTGTTGTGTATGTCGTAGCTGGTGAGGAGTACGTTTGTTATTGAGTCTTTCAATTTAGCATCGCTGAAATACTCTTCGAGGACCGTCTCGATGTTTTCATGCGGGTACTGGGCCCTGTTGAACCACGACATGGACCTCCTCAAAAGCGACGATTTGAATATGTAAGGGCCGTGCTTGCGATAAAGGTCGGCGAGGTCTTCGGCCTTGTATTTCGGCCCGTGTCGACCTTTCACAGTGAGCCCGGCGACGACGATACCACCGGTCGACGTCCCGGCCATGAGGTGGAAGATCTCCGATACGGGCTTTCCGCATCGCTTTTCGACCTCGGCGAGTATCAACGCTGGCATGATGCCTCTCATACCTCCCCCGTCAATGGACAGAATATACTTGGCCATTTCTCACATTTAAAAACTGAAGGCGAATGAAAAAGTTTCATTTGTTTGACATACGGTGATATGACATATGTTAAAAAAAACTACTTGAGATTTTGATATACAGATGACATCTTGACGCTTAAAATAACGATTCGATACCGAGAAAATACTATCTTCTTCAAACCAACACAACCTGCACCCTGGTCATAGTTCATACCAGTCGTTAATTCCAACAAAGTGAATCTATTTTTTTAAAACTTTTGACCTTCCTCGCAAGCCAGCTTCTCTCAAGACATGGTGAACTTTTTCAGCACTGATGTCGATATTGCAAAACCGCCTAAGCTTCTTCAACTTCGCCTGGACGAATAATACAGCGCTTGAAGGCATCTGAGTTAGTCACGACCCAATCCGTGCGGCGTTTAGACACCTGAACCTTGAAAAGTTTCATTTTATGAAATTTGGTGACCACCCTCTTGACTTTGATTATTTTACCTTGCGTTCTAAACGGATCTACTGTAGTGAGTCGACATGTTTGTAGGGGGGGGGGTATGCTAAATATGGTTATGCTAGGTTAAGATTATTTGATGAGTAAGGTTAAGGTTATTCCTTGAGACGGTTTAGGTCAAGTTTAGGGAAGAGTTAGCTTTGGTTAAGTTAGGGAAGGGACGGTTTATGTTAAGTAGGTTAGGGTTAAGGCTAGCAATGGGTAAGGTTAGGTTAAGTATGCTTAACCGAATATTATATCTTACATCTTAAGTATGCTTAAGGAGGGTTATGCTAGGTTGTTAACTTGTTAAATGTTAACCTCATAGTTAAGGTTATGATTTGAGACGGCTAAGGCCACCCTCTGGTAAGGATTATGTTATATTAGAATTGGTATGTCAAGTAAGATTTTGGTTCATCTTCGACCCGAACAACATTTCAACAATAAATAACAAATACAAAAAAAACGTTTAATTCTTTCGCAGATCTCATTTATTTATTATTTAAAAAACTTAACAACGCTTATAGCCTTTTTAAAATATACAATCATGAAAAACATTGCCTAATCCGCTAAAATTTGTCAACTTCTCATTCTATCTATGTATTTGGAAGAGAACTGGAAAATTTCCTCTTTTAACCTAACATCACCTCTCTATGCTTCTAAACAAATAATTGTCTATTTGTTTTAAAATATATAATAGTTGTTTTTTACTCCTATTTTAAATAAATTACAATTAATTATTTCTTATTTTTTTATCTTTATATATATTTATTATTTTAATTTTCTTGAAAATGGTGTGCTTCCTTTTGCAACCTGATGGGTTTTTCTCAACTTTAGAAACCAGTTTGTTTTTTCTTCGATTTTTATGGGATGTATGATTGGCAAGGTGGAATTTTCCTTTGCCTACGTCTAAATCATTCAGATCGAATGGACCTCCTCCCTGGACGACTTGTCCTCGAAGATTTCTTGGGCGAAGACCATCCTGTAGAGGACCGCTGCGACCGCAGCGCCCAGACAGGTCGCCACCCAGTAGATCTGATCGACAAAAACACAAAAAAACAATCGTTAAAAGATGACCGATAAGGAAAGTAGAAGAATCTTACCCAATGGTATTCCCAGTTGCCGGCGAGCAACGCAGGGCCGAAACTCCTGGCCGGGTTCATGCTGCACCCTGAATATTTCGCCTGTGAACGAGTAAAGTTTTGTTTATTAAGAGTTTCACATTGCTTAACTATCAGAAGTAGCAGGAGACAGCGAAGGTTCATTTGTGAGATCACAGCACTGTTAGGGTTATAGACGAGTAAGATTACGTTTAGGGTTTGGGACAGGTTAAGGAAAACTAGTTAAGGAGTAGAATTAGGGTTGGGGAAGGTTACGTTAGGTATCGTAGGGTCAGGATTAAGTGTTGGGACGGGTTAAGTATAGTTAGTTAGGTTAAAGTTAGGATTAGAAATGGGCAAGATTAGGTTTAGGGTTTGGGTTATGATTAAGGATGTTATGTTAGGATAGGGTTAGGGAAGGTTTGAGTTTACGTCGTTTAGTTAAGGATAGGGACAGGTTAGGTTAGCTAAGGGTCTGGCTTAGGTAAAGGCTTGATTAGGTTAGGTAGGTTATGCTAGGTAATGCAGGGAAAGGAATATGGTTAAAGTTAAGGTTAGAGATTGTTTAGGTTATGTTAGTAGGATTAGGGCTAGTGGTTAGAGATGGGTAAGGTTAGGTAGGGTTTGGGGTGTTATGTTTAGTAGGGTTACGAATGTTTGTTAATTGTAAGGGTTAAGAGGGTGTTAGGTTACGTTGTATTATGGGTATATGTTATACATATTATGTTTATATGTCAGTGTTAAGGTTAGATTAGGGATATGGTTAAGTTAAGTAGGGTTGGGGTTCAGCGGTTCCAGATGGGTAAAACTAGGGTAAAGTGGTGCTATGTTCGGTAGGGTTACGGTTAGGATTGTTAATTGTTTAAGGTTAGGGTTAGGGGGTGTTAGATTAAATTTGGTAGAGTTAGGGTCAATGTTTAAAAATGTGTTAGGTTAAAGCAAGATTGGGGTTAGGGTTAGGGATGTGTAAGGTTCGGTTATGCTGGTAGCGTTAAGATTAGGGTTAGGAACATTTGGGTTTAGGATGGTTAGGTTGAGTTAGATTTGGTGAGGTTAAGTTCAATGATATGTATATTATGTTTATTTGTCAATATTAAGGTTAATTTAGGGTTATAGTTAGATCAGGTAGTGTTAGAGACGAGTACGATTAGGGTATATTGGAGTTAAGGTGGTTTGGGATTGGCGGTTGGGGCTGGCTAAGAATAGATAAAGTTAAAGTTACGGTTTGGGAGGTTAAAGTCAGGCTAATGGAAAGTTTGGGTTTAGGACAGGTTAGATTAGTTAGGTTTAGAGAAAGTTTAGGTTTCTGTCGGGCGAAGTTAACTACGGTTAGGTTGAATTAGGTTTGGTAGGGTTAGGTATTATTATGTTTATGTGTCAATGTTAAGGTGCGGTAAGTTTTAGGATAGGTTAGGTTAATTAAGGTTAAATTAGGGTTATAGTTAGGTCAGGTTGTGAGGAGACGGGTACGATTGGGGGGGGGGGAGTCGAAACTAGGGATGTAGGGAAGGTTAAGTGAGGTAAGGTTTGAGACGGGTAAGACTTTGGTCGAAATAAGGACATGCTTAGAGCTATGCCTAGCTAGCGTAGGGTTAGGGTTTGGGCTATAGGGCCCACTGTCAGGAGAATAGTAGCGTTTCCTTAGGTTAGGTTGTGCCTTTACTTAGGTAAGGAGAGAGAAACGTTCGTACGAGGATGGCGGGAAGGTTAATAAACGTTACGACAAAGAAGTATGATTTGACGAACCGATGCCATCGCTATCGCGAGTATGATGACAAGGAACTTGACGAATATGATGGAATGGTTGGCCGACTGCCTCTTGTCGACGGCGTTGCAGAGTCCGAAGGCGAGCATCGCCGAGGTGACGAACTCGACGAAGAAAGCCGACCCGGTCGACACCTCGGGGTTGGGAAGGGTCATGCAGAAGTTAGCTCCGACCTCTGGCGTTATAGTCTTTGCGGCCAGGACACCCAAGTAGGCTCCTAGGAGTTGGAACAGGGTGTAGAAGACCCCCTTGATGACGGACATATGACCAAGGATGATCAGGACAATGTTGAGCGCCGGGTTCATCAACGCTCCGCTTATCGGGCCGAAAACCTTCCAACAAAAGTCCAATTCAATTTTTTGTTTTTTTAATTAAAATTTCCACTTACAATAATCGACGTGGCTACGCCGAGTGCGAAGGCGATGGCCGTGTTGAGATGAGTGTTGTGCGCGCCTTGCAGGAGGTTAGTAGTGCTCGAACATCCCAGGCCGACGAAGAAAGCAGTGCCCAACATCTCAGCGAGTGCGAACCCGATCAGCCTCCTTACCTTATTCATCGTTATGTCCGAGAAGTTCTCATCTATTATGAGCGACGTGTATGCTGAAAAAAACCATACTGTTAACACCTCATCCTCATCTTTCATCCTCCTCCCTCGGGGTTACGTAAAAAAAAATTATCCGAATAAATCCCGTGTCGTAACTGGACCACTTATTCCGATTAAGTTAGGTAACGGCCCTACCCTTCCAGGGGGAGGGCAATCCTCTCGAACCCTTGGTAGAAAACCTGGTAGGATTTGTTTGTCCCCGGGTTTCGTAATCGGGCTGGTGAAAAGTAAAATCTTTTAGCGATTCAAAGCTAAACGTTCGACCAGCTCGAGGTCATAGGCCTCCTCAGAATTGCAAAACCTCCACAAAGATAGGACTGATTCATAGATTAGTACTACATATTAGATTAATGAACTATGTACATTGTAATTGACATAACATCATAATTAAGTATGCAGGTTAAACAATTATGGCGTCGGATGTAAAGATGAATATGTAATATCTGAGGATAAATGCATAGATAGAAATATAGATAACTAATTGGCTAGATAGATTAAACAAATGGACTAATATATAGATAAATGAATGGTTAGATATTTTGAAAAATTAAAAGACAGATAGATAAATTAATTTATCTATACACTTTTCTATCTCTTTATCTAACTCTCCATTTATCTATTTATATTTCCATTTTTCAAACCATCCGTTAATTTACATCTGAATTTATCAATCTATCTTTATAACAATGCATTTATTAATCTATCAATTTTTCTAACCATCAATTTTTTCCAATAACCCATTAAGATATATATATATATCAATCTATCAATCAACTTTTCTTACCATCTATTTATCTATTTATCGATCTTGTTAGCCATCAAATTTTTTCTAACCATCCATTAATCTATATATAATTTATTAATCAATTTTTATAACCTTCCTTTTATATATCAGTTAGTTTTTTTGAACCATCAAATTTTTTCTAACAATCTATTTAACTATATATCAATTTATCAATCAATTTTTCTAACATGCATTTATTTATGTTACTTTTTGTAACCATCCATTTATCTATCATCAAAACATCAATCTTTCTAACCATCAAAACTTTTTCACCATCCATTTAATTAATTTATTTTTATATCAATCTATCAATCAATCCTTCTAACCATCAATTTTTGGTCTTCATGGTCTAATCATCTCTTAATCTATATATCAACCAATCTTTATAACCATAATTTTTGCCACTAATAATCCATTTATCTATATATCAATCAATCTTCACAACCATCCATTTATTTACTAGTCAATTTTTTCTAACCATCAATTTTTTCTAATAATCAATTTATCTATATAACAATCAATCTTTATAACCATCCATTTATTTATGTCGTTTTTTCTAACCATCCGTTTACCTTTAATCAATACATCAATATTTCTAACCATCAAAACTTTTTAACCACACATTTAATTCATTTATCTATATATCAATTTATCAATCAATCTTTCTAACCATCAATTTTTTAACCATCTCTTAATCTATATCATTCTATCAATCAATGTGTCCAACCATAAAAAAAATTAACCATCCATTTATCTATATATCAATCAATCTTTCTAACCATCCATTTATGTAGTAGTCAATTTTTTTAACCATCAAATTTTTTCTAATAATCTATTTATCTATCTATCTATCTNTAACAATCCATTTATCTATCATCAATTTCTCTAACCATCAAAACTTTTTAACCATCCATTTAATTTATTTATCTATATACCAATCAATCTTTCTAACGATGAATTTTTTTAAACCTTCCTTAATCTATATGTCATTCCACAAATCAATCTTTCCAACCATGAAAAATTAACCATCCATTTATCTAAATATCAATCAATCTTTATAACCATAATTTCCCCCCTAATAATCCATTAATCTATATATCAATCAATCTTTCTAACCATCAATTTTTTTTTAACAATCCCTTAATCTACATATCAATTTATCAATCAATCTTTATAACTTCATTTAACTATCTGTTATTTATCCTACCCATAATTTTTACCTAATAATCAATTAATCTATATATCAATCTATCTTTCTAACCATCAAAATATTAACAATGTATTTATCTATATATCAATCAATCTTTATAACTATCCATTTACTTATCTGCCAATTATCATACCCATGAAATGTTTTCTAATAATCCATTCATCTGCATATAAATTTATCAATCACTCTTTACAACATCAATTTTTTTAACAATCCCTTAATTTATATATCAATCTGTCAATCAATTTTTCTGACCATAAAAAAATTAACCATCCATTTACCTGTATATCAATCAATCTTTATAACCATTTACTTATTTACTTATCAATTATCCTACCCTTCAGATGTTTTCTTATAATCCATTAATCTAAATATAAATCTATCAATCAATCTTTATAACCATAAATTTTTTAACCATCCCTTAATTGACATATCAATCTGTCAATCAATTTCTTAACCATCAAAAAATTTAACCATCTATTTATCTATATATCTATCAATCTTTAATTTTCCAACCTTCAAATTTTTTAACAATCTATTTATCTATATATCAATCAATCTTTTTAACCCTTCATTTATTTATCTATCAATTATCCTACCCATAAAATGTTTTCTAATAATCCATTAATCTATATATCGTTCCATCATTCAATCTTTATAACCACTCATTTATTTCCTGTCAATTTTTTTTTCGAACCATCAAATATTTTGTAATAATCCATTAATTTATATCAAATTTTCTAACCATCAGATTTCTTTAACAATCTATTTATCAATCTTTCGAACCATCAAAACTTTTAATCATCCATTTATTTATCTGTCAATTTTTCTAAAAATTCATTTATTTCTCTATCAATATTTCTTACCATCAGAATTTTTCTAACCATACATTAATCGATGTATCTTTCAATCTTTCTAACCATACATTTATCTATCCATCAATCTTTCTACTTGTCTATCCTTTGTTCTAACCATCAATTTACTTAATCTATGCAACAGGCCAACCATCTATCTATCAATCTTTTGAATGTATCGTTCCATCTATCGAACCAACAATTTATCTATATTCCTAAATTAATTATACGTTTATTACTTTTTCTAACCACCCATATACATTTATCTAATCAATCTTTGCACTCCATGTGGATTAAAGAGAAGGAGTAATCGGATTTTATACATTAGTAAATATATCATAGACTGTTTTAGAGCCGAATAAATAGATTTGTAGACAGAGAGATTCGATTCGATTTACACACGTGTGGGACATACGTCGGTCGAGGGGGGAAAAAAGAGTAGAGGAAACACCTGCGCGACATTAGACAAATATTTGATAAAGTAGGAGAAGAACGTTGAACCCAGAGTCAAATTAATTTTTTTGGAAGTTTCTTGTTCTTTTGGAAGTAAGAAAAATAGGAAGTAGAATCAAATCGTGTGGCGGGGGTCCCACGCGGTCTCGTCAATTCGAACGGGAGTCTGTAAACACAATAATTTACGGATCGAATTCCTCTTTCGTCTTTTAATTGCACGCGCGTGACGGACCAAAATAAAAAAATTAAGACAAAATTCGACGTAAAAAAGGTGTTATTTTGGTTGAATCCTTGAACGTCGGCTATCTAACTCGACCCGATAACTGGGCCCTGGCTCTCGTTACGTAAATCCACAAACCTAACGTGTGGGCCTTTCAGTTCACAATGTATTACACAATAAAAAAATAAATTAAAATAAAATATTACAATAATAAACACATATACTATTTTATAAAAAATAATAAATAAATGGACGGTTATGTGGCTTCATATAGCGAGCGTGTATGAAATTGGACAAATTTGGACGAATGGCCTGTAAATGGAGTGAAAACTGAATATTTGGGTTCTATGTGACATCATCTCAAGGATACCAAGCGTCAATGCACAATGGTCAGTTTATGTGTGTGAATGTTACATTTAACCATCCATTTATCAATCAGTTTATGTATCCATCTAATCATCCATTTGTTTAATCTTTCGAACCATCTATGTATTTATTGGTCTATCCATACTTCTGATTATCCATATATTTTATCTTTCTAACTCTCCATTTATCTATCTATATATCAATACTGCTAACCACTCATATATTTATCCATATATCAATCATTTAAACCATCCTTTTCTCTATTTATCAATTTTTCTAAACATCTGCTTATATATAAACATTATATTTTTCTATATATCTGTTAATATTCTATGCATCCACTTATTTATCTATCTGCCACTCTTTTTAACCATCCATCTATCTATATATCTTCTTAACCATCCATTTATTTATCTATCTACCTATCAATATAGCTAACCAACCATATATTTATCTATACATCAATTTTTCTAACCACCCATTTATTTAACTAAATTTTTTATTAACCATCCATTTATCTATCAATATTCCTAACCACCCATATATTTATCTATCTATCAATTTTTCTCAACATCTGTTTATCTATCTCTCGTTCTACCCATCCATTTTTCTATATATCTGTTAATATTCTAACCATCCACTTATTTATCTATCTACCATTTTTTTAACCATCCATCTATCAATATATCTATCAATGCTTCTAAAGACCAAAATTTTTCTAACTTAATCCATACAGCAATCTCTCAATCAATCTTTCTAACATCCTTTTATCCATCTATCTATCTTTCTACCCATTCCCATTAAATTTTTTTAAACTATCCATTTTTCTATCAAACAATTTTATTTAACTATCCATTTATCTATCCATCAATCAATATTGCTAACCACCCATATATTTTTCCATATATCAATCTTTCTAATCATCCATTTATCTATCTATCAATTTTTCCAAGCATCTGTTTATCTCTATATCGTTCGAACTATCCATTTATCTATTAACAATTTTTTAACCATCCATTTATCTATCAAACAATTTTATTTAACCATCCATTTATCTATCTATCAATGTTGCTAACCCATATATTTTTCTATATATATCAATCTGTCTA